ATCCACTTCAGAATCACCATATAAAGTATTTTTTATAATAAATTGTATTTTGAGTTTCTAATTCCCTAAATCTGATACATTAGGATACCAATTTCTTAACAGACCCCTAGTTTGTATTGAACCATGTTTTTCTTTTGGGTTGGTCGCTAGATTGAGTTGTTATATCTCAAGAACTTGAAGTCTTGAATACATTCTTAAATATAATTTTATCGTGGGAAAAAAAGTACATTTAGCTCAACATTCAGCATGAGCATAAAGTATTCTCAAATTGTTTAATAAGAGCCTGTGTACTACACTCCCTTATTATCAAAATTTGCATTTCCTCCCTCAAAAAATTGGCTTGCATAAGAGGATGTCCAGATCTAAAATCATGAATGCACTTTATTATGAGTATTTTAAAAAAGAAGAAGCGATTTACACACCTGGATATGACCTTCCACAAAATTAGATGATTTGTGGGCAATTCTAAGGCATACTTTTGTTCTACGAAGTTGCAGGCGCCTCTTTTTTACTTGGTTATTTCTTGAGTAGGTCACATCCTCAAAATTTGTTGTTCATGAAACAATGTTTTAAAACCCATAACACTCACCGATCAGAATTGGGAGACACCAATCTGAAATGGAAATTGGTTGAGATTGAACCAACTTTGGGAAGGTATCAATACTGGCCGTGGAACACCCCCCACCCCCCTCCCCCGAAAAAAAAAAAAAAAAAAGTCTCCTCAGAATCCCCCACCCAAACCCTTATTTTTTATTTTCTATTTTCTTTAATATTCTATAGATTGCCTATTCAGAACGACCTAGATTAATCTCAATTGCAATCCCGTGATCCGACACGGATACATGAGGCAGAGGATCCACCCAACCGAACTAGCACCGAAGTGAGTGAAGTATATCCTTCCTTTCGTCATTCTCAAATTCTGACTATTCGTAATGTCAAAATAATAAAAAAAAAAACAAAATTTCAAAATTTTCCAAGAAAATTACCTCACCAAGTGAATGATGATGTATAATTCACCGAGTTGGAGAGCCACTCCAATGAAAATGAAATGGGCTGAATTTGCGGGAGTTTGGTACATGATGTAAGGCCACATGATGACTATGCTCCTCATCTCTTGCTCTTCAAATCCACTATACCAACCATTAGTCATCATTACTATTCGCTTTGTATTGGATTGGATTCATTCTCTCTTTTTTTTTTTTGACAAAATTCATGAATTTTATTAATGAACTTTATTAAAAAGGATGAAATTACAGCAGTGAAATTACATCATAAGAAATCACAGTAAAAAAAAAAGAGGAGCCCCCTCTTAACCAGAGCATCAGCTAATTCATTTGATTCTCTATACAGATGATCAAATAAAACCCTCAAGGAAGCAACCAAATCAAGAATATGAATTCAAGTACATCTAAGTTGCCAAGGCATATATTGCTAACATTCATAGAATCACCTTCTATCGAACAGCAATCACCTACATTCTTCTCTTTAAAGATCTTTAATCCTAGAGAAATCAATTAGTCATTGCCTATCTTGGATTGCGCAATAAGCTTCTACCAATGTTGAGCTTCAACGAGCCTTCACCATTCCCAACTTAAATAGATTTGAGAGGTTGAAAACTTATTGTGAAAATTCTAAATTAAATAATTCAACTTTTTTAAAATTTTTTTTGTAAACCACCATGATTAAACATTAGTAAATAATTAAGCATTGCAAATTATTCAGTTAAACATTGTATTGTATTTAATCCGAACTTTTAAATTCTTATAAATATTCCTCTTGACATTTATTTGGGAAAGCTGCACAAACACGCATCATTAGACATTTATATGGGAAAACTACACAAACACGGAGAGAGACTAATAAAAAAAGTATGATTTTTTAGAAATTTGACTCTTTATTTTCAATTAAGTTTTTTGACTAATTTGACTTTTTATTTTTAAAGAAAGGAAAGTAAGATCTAGTTTTTTTTTGCCAAAAGGTATCCTACTCCCACGGTAGTAGAATGCCCATTTACTCCCTCGGGTAAAAGCCAACCTATAATTAATTTTAGGACCCCAAAATTTGGGGTTGTAACCTCTTCAACCTATTGATTAACATAAATAAAAAAAAAAATCCTAATTGTACCCTCTATGCACATGAAAAAGATAATGTCTCAAGATTGAATAGAGACATCTACTCTTTAGATGCGACACTTAGTGTTAGAAAGCTCAAATTCCAATTTTCTTTTTTGAGAATAATCATCTAGAAATTCTCATATGGTTCCCAAATTTTCATATTAAAAATATCCTCCCAAGTAGGTTTTCTAATTGAAGGAATTGAAATAAACTATGCTACCGAGGGAGCATAGTATACATGCTCTTCTTTTTTTTATCATGATTTTTGGGGACAATGTTTAGCAATAAAAAGGCCCTATGCAATCAACATGGAAAAAAATGCAAAGAAAGAGTAAAAAATCTTCTAATATAGTAGCATTATGTTTTAAGAAAATGCAATTTAAACTCAATTTCCAAACCGAATGGTCTAATAGATCTACTTGATGTTAATCATTTTTTGAGTTTAAAATTTTATAATTAGATATGAAAAAATATTTTCAAAGAATCCTAAAACAAATTTATACCAAAATAACATGTTATGATAAAATTTGGAGACGTGCCTTAATTAAATTGTTTAAGGTTGCAACCTTATAGAAACCACACCCTTTAACAAACGTATGCCTCCTAAGCAAATGACATGAGGAAACTAATGCACACATTTTCCTTTGCAAATTCTCTATGGAACGGTTTTTGCACTGGATTATTCCCTCATCAGTCAAGGCAATTCAATGGAGACCACCGCCTATGCCAAAGCTAGGATTTAAAACTGTGGAGAATGGTAACGGCAGAATAGTTAAAAATTTGAAGCAATGTCCCGAGACTCGCCTCACCCAACCCAGGAAACTCCCTTGGTGGAGGTGAGTTAGGACTCGGCTAAGTCATGCAACGGACTGAAAAACCCAAATAAAATTAAAAGACGATAAAATTTCAAAAAAATAAGAATTTATTAGAAGTAATATAAAAACAAACACAATCTTTAGAGTCCAAATACGCTTTAAAAAGTATTAGAAAAATGGATTTATAGTTGGGGGCAAAACTAAATAAAAAATAAAAAAAGGGATTTATGGCAAAAAAGACTCAGGATCTTTTAAAAAACAAATGAATCGTACACAAAAAAAATATATAGATCAATTCCACATTTGTATAAATTTTTTTGGAATTTTTTGATTTTTTGATTTTTTTTTTAATATCTTTGAGTTGTGCACATCTCAGAAAAACTCGACCTCCCCCATAGGACGCGTTCAAGTGGACTCGGCCGAGTCCTAGCAAATTCTTTGAGGATATGTGCATTGTTAGTTGGAATAATCGAACTTCGATAGCACCTTGGGCAATAGCTAAAGAAGAGTTTAGGGGAATGTACTCTTAAATCATAAACAAGTTGCTTAACTCGAAGTAAAGAATTATCAAAAGCTAAGTGATTGGTAACAGCCTCCATATATATGCGTGAAATTTCACTTTTGATGGGAGTGCAAGGGGCAATCTTGGACCTGTTGGAGGATTGATCAGGGATCACATTGGTGATATACTTCTCTCCTTTTTGAGACCTCGACAAAGTTGTATAGCTAATAAATCAAAGTTGGGAAGGGAGTCAAGGCATAGGTGGTCAGGGTGATGGGTGCCACAAGATGACGTCTTGAATTTCATTCCTACAATAGATAAGAGACCCTTCCTCTACTGACCAAAACAGGAGTACAGAGGCAAACATTTGGTAATTATCATATAGGGACTTCAAAGTTAAAAGGGATTCAACTAAAGAATGGTTTGTAGCAATTGGATACGCAGTTCTGGATGGCACACCCTTCTTTGCTGAGGGCTAATGTTACCAGATATTAGGGTTGCTTTGAAGCAACAAGCTACTCTTATGAAGTGCATAGTTTGTTGTGCTTTGAAGTGACGAGCTTCTTTTATGAAGTGCATAGTTTTGTTGTGCTTTGTAGTGACAAGCTTCTTTTATGGATGGGTGCAGTTTGCATAGAGCCCAGGATCTAAACAATCAAAATAAAGCACACTTTCAAATACTGTCGTGGTTTCAATTGACTATATGACAACTGTGTACTCATTACCCAAATGCTTGATTGATTAGCAGTTGATACTGGTAGAGCTACATCTCAAGTTTGATCTCAAGTGATGAATTAACCAAAAAACAAAATCTAGTATTTAAAAAAAAATTTACAGCAAAGAGTTTTTGCTTGCCAAACACAATTAAATACCAATCCTTTTTTTCTGACCAATTAAACACAAGATTTTCATAGTTCAATTGGTTCACGTAAAGGAATTAATGGGAGTTTCTTTAATGGACCGACCAAATAAATGGTGGACCTAGTGGAGCATTATAGGATGGGCACTCAAAAAGCAGTAAATAAACATTGGACACGTTCAAATAATGACTATATCATGCCCCTTCCAAACTATTCAACACATTAAAATAATGACTATCATATCCCATTGAAACCGTGAGAGGGTTCAACAAAATTATTTTATAAGGTGAATTTCTAATTAATTGCTTGAAGAGGCCTTTCCAAATGCTGTGATATGATGAAATCCAGAAAACTTTGAAAAAAAGGCATATAAAAGAAAGAAACACATGTCAATAAAGATTCACATATCATTCTAAAAGAATCCAAATTACAATTATAAATTTTATACATGATCCTATATTTATGTATTTCTTATTTACTTTTTTCTTTTTTTTAATATGACCGAGTTGTACCCAGGAGCTCGGCTCGGAAAGGGGCTGAGGCCGAGTAATTCACTTGGTCCCAAATGGACTCGATCGAATAGTTAACAATGGTTCACGGAGAAATTTGGAGGCAGACCAGTTGGCTAGAATGGTTGATAGTCTCAATTCTATATCTATAATTTGCTGAAGGAACAGTAGAATAGCTATTTTGGACTCCAAGCGAGTTGTACAACAATATTGATCTTATTAATGAAAATTCTCAGTTAACAGGAGGTGAGAGAGAGATTTTTGATCTTATTAATGAAAATTCACAGTCAACAGTAGAGAGATATTTTGATAGTCCTTCAATTTGAAAAAGAATTTCAGGGCCAAATTTTGAGAAATTGTATTCCAAGAAAATGAGTAACACGAATTTATTGGGCGGGCGCCAGCACACACACCCAGAGAGAGAGGTCACCACCTTCCACCGACTTCCATCTCATTTTTATTCCTACTACCAGAGAGAAGAAATAAACCCGCTGCACCCCCTTCCCACCAACAACTTTCTTATTCTCCCATAATTTTTCTCAGTTTTTGCCCCTCCAACTTCCATTGAAACATGCCCACAATCTCTCTCCGCTCTCTTTCTAAGGCCTTTCTCATTTTCTAACACATTACTCTTACAACACATGCCCCAAAATCAGGTGGGGAGAGAAGAAAACATAGGCATAGCATATTCTATACAGTTTCCAATCTCTCTCTCTCTCTCTCTAGGCTGCAACAGGGCTAAGGCTAGAGGGCTGCAACTTAGCTGCAAAATCCCTCGCCCAAAGGTCATAATGAATGATCTCTTCCAGAGAAGGCTCCACAACCAACTCCTTCCTATGCTTATCACATGTAATCTCCACCACCTTAAATATATCCAAATAACTTATCCTGCATTTTCCAAAACACCCCATCACAAAAATATGTGAGAGACAGAGAGGGCGGTGGTGGGATTGTCGAGGTTTCATTACAAAAGTCAAGAGAAACGGAATATATCAACAAGTTGCTTTTCTTCTTCAAGTGAGAGATGGAAAAGTAGTTTAGCTAGAGGGGAAAAATGGTAGTACTTACTAATATTGATTTCTTTTTGTTAGAAAAAAACTATGGAAGGAAGAATTCTTACTGTTCATCGATGAACATCTCCACTGCCTTCTCGTTGGCGGCACTGAGAACTCCAGTCATGGTGCCACCAGCACGACCAGCAGCATAGGCAAGATCCATTGATGGGTATTTCACATTGTCTGGGGCTTTAAAGGTTAGGGACCCCAACCTGCAAAAATATAATGCAGTCATTATCAATGGGAGAGAGAACTACTTGAAGGCAAGAAAGGGTCATACTTGGAAAGGTCAAGTCAAGACCATATACACACAAATAGAGAGAGAGAGACATACTTGCACAGATCAAGTCGAGGCCAAGTGATCTCAGAGCAATATATTCTGTCTGGCCACGACATTGTGTAAAGGATGGGCAACCGCATGTCCGGCCATCCCAATTGGGCCAACACCGATGAATCCTAATTTTGGAATGGCAAAACAAGGGAGATAAAGCACTTCAGACTAATGGAATCTAATTTGTGAATCCACTGTTTAGATCAAATCCACAGGCAAATTCATTGTAGACCAATCACAAAGCCTAATCCAGCTTCAATTTGAACAAAATAAACAATTTAGTCGTTAAAATCTTTTGTTTGTTTCTGGGTTTTTTGCGGGGGTGGGGAGAGGGGTGAGCGAGAGAGAGAGAGAGAAAGAGGCATGGGCATCGGTAGATTGAACCTGAGTTTCAACCATTGAATGTATAATTGACTGTGGATGTATCACGATCTCTATGTTGTCATATTCGGCTCCAAACAGATAGTGTGCTTCTATAACTTCTAAACCCTGTTAATAAGCATGCAAGGAAACTTTATTTTAAATCTACTATCAAAACATAATAAAACTGGGAACAAGAGAAAAAACCATGCCTTGTTGAAGAGAGTGGCAGAGTCAACTGTGATTTTCTTCCCCATATTCCAGTTAGGATGCTTCAAAGCATCTGCAACTTTCACTTGTTTCAATTTTGCAACCGGCCAATCCCTATAGGAGGGAATAAAAGACTTCAGTTTAAACTTATCAATAACAAACAAAAAGGAAGAGTAAGTTGACGAAATATTTGACAACTAGAATCATTTGTGTTACAAAACAGATCCAAAGAACACTGAAATTATATCTCTCACTAAATATTGGTCGTTGTGCATTGTTTCTCCAGCACCTATTGCTATAGTCAAACAAAAGTTCATTATTGAAAAGAAAATAGTGTTCAGACCTGAATGCTCCTCCTGATGCCGTCAAAACGATACGACGAAGTGCACCTTCTGGCAAGCCTTGAATGCACTGGATGCATGAAATCCTCTCAGCATTTCCAAGCAATATATGATGAGCTAACCAAATGCAATCTCTCTCTCTCTCTCTCTCTCTCTCTCTCTCTCTCACACACACACACACACACACACACACATGCACACTCACTCACTCTATACACACACACACGTACATTCACACTCACTCACTATACAAACACACACGCACACACATTCACACTCACTCACTACACACGCACACGCACATTCAAACTCACTCACTATACACACACACAAAACCACACAGGAGAAAGTTGTTGGCTCCTTAATGGCACCTGGAATATTGCTGAATGCTCAGAGTCAGCCGGCAGAATTTTAACTTTATGCTTGCGTGCGAGGGGAAGAACAAAAGGGCCCCCAGCAATGAGAGTCTCTTTATTTGCCAATGCTATGTCCTTTCCTGCCTCTATTGCAGCCACTGTAGGCTGGGAAAACCCAAACGCACCTTCAGATACAAAACTACTATAAAAAGATCCCAGAAGAGCCCAAGCTTTCTAAATTCAAGTACTGTTCCAAGCTATTGAACATATTAAATATGGGCGCAGTTTGTATAGAGCCTAGGCTCTAAACAATCAAATTAGAGCCTACCTTCAAATAGTATCGAAAAACGTGGTTTCAATATTGGAAATCTTTGTGATAGCCTTAAAATATGTTTTTATATTTATTTATACAGTTTAAAGCTTCAAAAATTGTGTAGATCGACATATCTATGAAAACTTGAAAATCTTGAAAATTAACGGTCCAAAAATGTGTTACAAAATACACTATTTCCAAAACTTGAAATCTATTTTTTTCTCATGTCCATGCTTCTTGGTGTCGAGATGATCAATTTGAAGATATTTGAACATCAAAACAACATCTTTTAGTGAAATTTTTAAGATGATAGGCTCAAATTTGATTGTTTAGAGCCTCAGCTCTATATAAACTTTTCCCATTAAATATTGTAGGGCGCAACAAATAGGCAATGCGAAGCTTAGTAACAGAGATTCTCAGAAGAAGATCACAATCATAAGAGATAAACATGGATGGCCATTGCCTCTTCACTCTGCAGTTGTTGGAAATGCAAAGGATATGTGTTCGACAATCACAAAAGAGATGCGTATATGAATAACTCACATGTATTTATGTATGAAATACAACCACATAAATAAATGCTTCAAACAAATATTTGTTACCTTGACATCCTATGAAACTTGAAATTTGAAATAAGGTCATGTGCAATAAGAACATTTGAGGAAGATATAATGTGAAAAGGACTATGGAAGTTACCTTTAAGCCAGCGCATCCTACTATGCCTGTAACTACTGTGACAGCATCTGGATGACGAGCAACCTAAAAGCAAAGGCATAGAAACATAATAAAATAACAAAAGAATATATGATGCATAGAAGAGTAAAGAAATCATCCATCCAGGGTGATGAGAAATGAAAGCACTCACTATTAGAAGAAAAAAAAGAGGTAGCTCACCTCTATGACACCCTTCTCTCCAGGAATGATCTCAGGCTTATAATCAGCATCAGCCAATGCCTCTTTAAGTTCATCAAACAAAGACTCATTTCTAACAGCCACTAATTGAGGTTTGAATGTTTTCACCTATAAAACGAAAAACATGCAATTAACATAAACCTAACATGCCATGCTTACCAATTTTTTAACCTCAGTGTGGTCTCAAAGTCCATAAAGAGAATCACATTATAATAATTTTTTCTTTTCCTTGTGAATGAATTTTGTATAATCACCTGATCAGCAAGAAGAGTCACATTTGAACCTGCCGCAAGTGCAACAACTCTGAATTTATCAGGATTCTCGGCAACTATGTCCAATGTCTGAAAGGTCAAGTTACGCGATATTCAATTAGAAGATTACGCACAAATTTTGATTTTCTTTTCTTTTTATCATTTTCTAGATTGCAAAAGTAGTAATTAGTTTTTAGCTCTGACCTCCAAATGAATAATCACTGGCAATAACCAGTATTTCAAATTCTAACTGATGAAGTGAAATAGTCTAAGAAATTGCACATTCTTTTCTCCATCATGGAATGCAAATTTGTGGTAAGAACTCAGCTTCATTTTCTTTACATGGATTTGGTATTCATCTCCTTGTGACCAAGATTTATCTAATCAACCCTACCATCTTGTTATTCAAGCATATCTTACTAAGACATGACCGCCAATTATCTACAATTCTAATGAGCAACTCTGTCGGTTCCCAATCTATTTGTACGATCCTTCTCTCATTATTGCAGGCGTTTCTAAGGCATGTTTGGTTAATAAAAACTCTCAATTTAAGAACCACAAGAAATTAGTGTCACCAAATTTCAGAAATTACATAAATATGACTACTTGAAATATTAAAATTTTATAAACCTGGGTTCCAATTGAGCCAGTTGAGCCCACGACTGAGATGGGCTTTGGACCATCCCATGTCTTCTTCTTGCCATCCTCCAAAACAGCTCTTCCAGGCCAGGCTGGTGGTGGTTGGGTGGCAGCTGAACAATAAGTTCTATTCCCACAGAAGCCTCTATCCTTCTTCTTTAGACCAACTGTTCCTGACAGGAAAGGAAGTCACAAAGCATTAACTTTTTCTATAAAGTTTTCAGTCATGAAGCATATAGTATAAAGTTTTCAGTCATGAAGCATGAAGCTTACAAGTATTAGCACTCTTTGATGATTAGTGCTAACATGGGAGGTCCAAATGATACAAAAATACATAACACTCAAACTGACAAAGCAATGAGCTCATCAGGCAACAATAAATTAATGCTCCTCTATAGAAGAAAGTTAAAAATCAACCCCATAGTGATGAACTCTAAACATTTCAAACATAAAGCAATCACCCATGCATAAGGTATTTCAGAAAGTTCACAGAAAAATGGTTGTTTGGCTCAGCCTTGACATCAAATGGTAATTTACGAACTCTCTTGAGATCCAAATTCAAGGTTTTTATTCAAAATCCGCTAGAAAGCTCATTTTCATTTGATTATAAATATTCAAAGTGGTAAGGAATCCAACTGAATGAATTCTTAAATTTCCAAAAATTGGAAGCATATAACCAGAAGACACAAAACTCATGCACCCAAAGCTAAAAGACATATTAAACAAGTTTAGACTCATCACTCTCCCTCACACTCAAACCAGAGCAACTTTATGTGTAAATACAAAAGAGAAAATAATGCATGAAAAGTATTTACCAAAGAAGTATTATCTGCATAAATCACAAGCAGAGATTAACATTCCCAACTCCTAATGAGAAATTAAAAGCCTTACATGAATATTAGTGATTGAGAATGGTTTTCTTCCAGAACTTAAGAAAAAAACTTTTGAAAGTGTAATTCTAAAAGGATACTCATCCATCAAAGTAACACACGATTAATGCAATAATAAAAAATATAAGCAGAGAAACATCACAAGGGCAGAAACTATATATATATATATATATATATATATATATATATAGAGAGAGAGAGAGAGAGAGAGAGTAA